AGTTTAAATCAGTGAGACAGTGTGAAGGACAGGAGCTTCCAGTCTGCAGAAGAACCACCACATGTTCATAAATGCTGCCGGCCTGTGGCTGTCAGGGACACAGCAAACACACCGCCTGGCCCAGCTCAGGTTCTGCAGTGACTACCTTGTCCCCGTCTTTGGTAGCGTTGATTTGAAGAGCAGCAGAGCAGAGCTTGGCGGCCTCAGCAGGGGACAGTGAAGAAAAAGCCAGAAACAGAGGCTCAGCTGTGAAGGGGGTGAAGCTCAGCCCCCGTCCCCGGCACCCTGCAAGCACGTTACTGGCTGAGACAGGCCTGTGAGGCCCCTCGGCCATGGGCCTGCCTGACCCCAGGGGCTCCCACGTCTCAGAAGGCTTTAGTTTCACCTGACTTTGAGAGGAAAGTTCCAGCAGAGTGGGAACAGGGGCAGGAGAGCACTGGGTGAGGTGAAGAGGGCATGGGAAGCGCTCTGCCTTCCTGCCCCTGTGAGCAGTGTCGAGGCTGGTGGACCCGGTCCCCTGGGCAGACCCTGGAGGGCCACGGCCAGGGCTGATCTGTGCCTGCAGGTACAGTGCCTAGCCAGCTCCTTGTCTCTGCGACAAAATATCTGACCCACACAAACCAAAGAGTGAGAGGCTCCTTTCAGCTCGTGGCTTCAGAGTGTCCTGGGCAAGGCCAGCTGGCTCCAGGACAGAGAAGTGCTGGGAGAGGGCAGGAGGAAAGGGAAGCCTGCTGAGAGCACATGCCCTCAGGGCACGCGGGGACCTGGAGCCCTGCCCCCGCTGCTTCTGACAGCTGCGCAGCCAACTTGTGCTGGGTCAGCGAGCGTGGCGCTTCATGGCTTGAGCCCCTTCAGCCTCCACCATCCAACGCAAGACTGGCCTGTGGTCAGGAGCAGGGAGCGGACACAGGCGCTCAGCAGGGGCCACAGGAGGGGCTGTGCCACCCCAAGCAGGCCCTGAACCTCAGGCTGACCCACGCTAACCCTAAACTTGCCCTGCGCCTGCCCCTGCCCCTGCCCCTACAGCAGTGACCTTTTGCCCAGAGCACGGGCCCCCACTTGCCTAGCGGGCAGCCCTGAGGCTGATGGCACCCACTTGGAGCAGCTTGGTTTTCACTAGGGATTTCTGAGACTCTGTCCAATTTAGACTCTGAACTGGCTCCTGCCCCACCCTGGTCTTCTCTCCCTCTCACCCATTTACTGGAGCTCCTGTCTTGGACACAGCCAGGAGGTTCCAGCAGAGGGGAGGAAGTAACCAGATTCCACCACCCTGGCCTGCTAGGCTGTTGGGCTCACCCTAGTCCTTTGCAGGATGTGACCTTACTGAGAAGGAAGAGGGACATCGTCCCTCACACCAGCACCTGCTCCTGCTGTGTCCTTCTGTGGCATCCCTTTCAGGGCTCCTGGACATTTGCCACCCTCCTGTTCCCTGAGGAGGTCTCCAGTGTCCCTGTAGTGGTGTTAGGTGAAGCTGGGTGAAAGGAGGGTCTGAGGCCACATTGGGGAACATTCCATGAAGCCTGCTGCCAGTTTCTGGACCAAAGGACTTCTGGGAGGTTCTAACAGCAAGGGTAACACATGATGGGTGAGGAGGTCACGGCATGGACCCTCCAGAGGAGCCTGGAGAGCTGTCCCCTTGCCACTTAGACATCACCTTCTTGGGGGCTCAGAAGAGGCAGGACAGAGACAGGAGCAAGACCAGAGTAGCCAAGGGCTGAGCAGAAAGACGGGTGGAAAGGTCAGATGTGGGACGCTGTGGCACCCGTGTGGCTCTGTGCACGCGGGTCACAGCCCGGTGGTCAAAGCTGGAGAAGCCGGAACTCAGAGTGGGCCCTCTGCAGCCTCTAATTGGTGTGAGACACTGGCCACTCAGTTGTGACCACTCTACCACACTACAGTGAGACATTGATGGGAGGGAACAAGGAAGGGCACTCTCCTAGCCACTTCTCTGTAACCTGGCCAGAGACCCTCTGCATCGCTGAAACCCCAGAGATCCACAGCCAAGCCTCTGTCCTGGGGGACCTGGAAACACCAATTCCTCACTGTAAAGAATGAAGTATGTGACAAGGACAGATGCTTTGTGCTGGCAGTCTGGCCAGAAGGGCCACCTCCTTGTCCAGGACGTGTGCAGGGGGCACCACCAGCCCTCAGCCACCTCCCATCCCTCCCATGGTGCACGGTGCATGGTGGGAAAATATGGCTGGATCAACCCAGAAGACTGGGGTCTGCTTGTGCTTCAGCCCAGAGCAGCAAGAGCCTGGAGGGTTGTCCTGGCTGGACACAAGTACGTCTGCAGCGCGGCCCTGTTGCTAGGTGCAGGCTCGGCTGCAGGGTTTGTGGGCAGGTGGGGTGGAAGACAGACAGGACTGGGTACCACAGTCGCTGCCCTGACAGAACAGCAATAGATCCTTGAGACCACCTTCCCTCCCTCACTGCAGTGAGGAGCTGGGCCAGGAGGACCCAAGCCCCAGTGGCTGTCCTGGCGGGCTTCCTGTCCTCATGTTGTCAGATTCAGTGGCACCCCTCGAGCCTTCCACCGCAGTCCCCCCAATGCTGAGCTTCAAACTTCCAGTGCTTTTAGGCACCCAGGCTGCAGCAACTTGGCCACCGCTGCAGTGCCCTCCCCAGCCTGGTCTTCTCCACCCCAGACCTGGCCAATGACATTTGTGGGGAGACTCTGCTATGGCCTCAAGTGCCAGAGCCCAGAGATCCCCAGCCAAGTCTCTCCTGGGGACCCTGGAGACACTGATTCCTCAGGGGGACCCACCTGTCCAGTGCAGCCCTGCTGGGGAGAAGCAGGGGGCCCTGTGGGAGGCAGGGGGCAGCTTGCTGGTGGTCCTGAGATCTGTGTGGAGAGGGGGCAGGTGGGGTGAAGACTGTGGCCGGAAAGGCCCAGGACCCTCCTCCCACTCCACCCTGTGAACCCCAGCTCCTGCAGCGAAGGTGTGTCATGGGGCCAGCTGCACCCACCTGCTCCCAGCCGAAGCTCAGCCCCTGAGGGTCCGGGCTAATGGGCAGCCCCTCCGCCACTCCCTCAGGCTCCTGGTCACAGCCCTGCCCTTCCTCCAGCCCCACCACCGTGGTCTCCCCTCCCACCATCTCACTCTGCCCACCATTGAGGTCATACTGGCACCACCATTTCCTTTTAAATTTTTAATCTCTCTGTTGAGAAAAAAAATAAGACTTGGCGGCACTCCTGGGCTCGCTGCATGACCAGCTCGGCGATGTTACAGATCGGGAGATCGTTTACTTGTCTAAAACCCAGGGGAGGGAAGGAATCAAATCCGTGGGCAACGCTGGCAGAGGGCACTCCCTGGCTCAGACTGGGCCTTTACCTCACCCTGGGGGCGCTGGGCCTCTTAGTGGCAGGTGACAGCAGGAGAGGCCGCAGAGGCTGGAAGCAGGAGGGGTCAGAGGAGAGGAGGAGAAAGAACTAACTCAGCTTCACACTTTCTTTGGAGGCAGAATATGTTTCAGAAACAATTTCTGTTTTGGAAAATAAAGCATGGTTAAGTCTTGGAGTGCGGGCCAAGGATAAAGCCCTGAAAGGAGCTCCCAGCTCAGGCCTGCTGTCAGGGAGTAGGACCGCACAGCACTTGGGTCCCAGCTCCGGCGCGAGGGGCATCTGCAATGGCCTGGCTGTGTGACAGTCTCAGGGCTGTGGACCGGGCCACACGGGAACAAGCCTGGGAGGGCACGGGTACGGCCCCGCTGCCTGCCTTCCTCACCATGCCCCGCACTGCACCAAGCAGAGCCAACAGGGAGGGAGGAAGATGCCCTGGGCCCTGACGGGGCCACAACGCCTGCTCTCCAGGGGCCGAGCCTCCCGGGGCAGCCAGGCGGATGTGAACGGCAAATTTACACCATGTGAGCGGACATGCTTAAGAGCAGGGTCTCTGGTTGGCGGGATGTGCGGCAGGATGAGGGTGCGCGGAATGGACACGCCTCACAACGTCCTCGACAACTCTGAACCTGGTCCTGTTCTCCGCGGGTCGTGGCACCTCCTCCACGCTCATAGCACAGGCCGGGCAGTGAGTCCAGTGGACCGTGGGAATCGTAGCTCATGTAGATGGATTAGGCAGAGCCCACGCCCGGGAACCGTCCGCCTGCGGCCTGGCTCTGCCGATCCAGGTCTCTTCTCCGAGGGGCAGCGGCGTCAATGGGGTCTCCGCCCTAGGGACCGTCTTCCATCAGAGGGATCTCTGCGAAGGAAGGAATGGTTACCAGCTCCACACAGCCTGAAGGCAGGCGGGCGTTCGGAATATGAGGCTCGTTAGAATATCTGCAATTCTAGACTTCATCGAGAAGAAAATGTGAAGTCCCACGGATCTGTTAAAATCAAGTAAGCCAGCTTCCTTGCATGACGTCTATTGGCTGAAAATGACTGTGACTGCACTGGAGGGAGAAGGTAGGGAGGGGCAGGTGACTGAAAGAACAAACTGAGAGGCTTGTGTGGTGCTGCAGCTGCACACCAAGGGTGTGAACACTGCTCTGCAAAAACGTGCAGTAATAAACTAAGTAATAGTAGCAAAACAAACAACAAAAAGACTTAAACTGCTGGCTCTGGTGGACACATAGGCTAAAAACCACAAACCCAGGTGTAGGTCGGCGGCGTGGTGTGGGGACCCGGGAGCCCCGGGACTGTGCCCGCTCTGCCTGGTGTTGGGGTCCTCCTGTGAATCTGCCCCTGCAGAGCCTTCATGGCCCCCACAGGCTCCCCGTTATCAGGGGCTGCGGCCCCACTTTCTGTGTGCCAGGAGCGGGGCTGGGCACTCACCATCAGCGATGTCGATGCCTGGGCTGCTGGACACCGCTTCCCCAGTGCCAGTCGCTGGTGCAGGGTCCTCAGGGGCGGGGCAGGGGTGTGCCTGGCTCGGGGGAGGCGGGTACAGACTCTGGAGCAGCTCAGAGGAGCCCGAGGTGCTGTCGCAGGTCTCTGATGAGTCCCCTGCGCCTGCATCCTCGTCCCCGGGGTAGGCAGGGGGGCTCTGGTCATCCAGGGGCATAGGGCATCCTGGGCCCACAGCAGCCAGGAACCCAGGGCCTAAGGCACTGGCACCACCACTCACAGCCTCATCATAGGACGGCAGCAGGACAGGGACACCATCTACCACCACGAAGTCGGGGTCACTGCTGGAGCTCCTGGGGGGTCCCCTGTGCACAGGAAATGGTGCCACTTGTCAGAGCCTTGCTATGGCAGCTACAGCTTGGGCACGGTGGGTTGCAGGGCCCAGGCAAGGCAGGAAGACCTGTCTCCCCTCCCTCTGTGGCAGGGGTGGTGCAGGACGTGGCCTGTCCAACAAGCTCCCTCGGCTGTGTCCTGGGATCTGCCCCCACGTGGGCAGGGAGCGTGACCCTCGATGCCAGGGTCAGCTGGCTGGTGTGTGGGGCTCCTGGGTGGCTTGGCTCTGCGCTGTGGATCGTTCCCTCCATCCAGACCAGGCAGCAAAGCAGAGCAGCAGAGCGAGAATGGGCAGTGGGGACACCTGAGCCCACCCCTTGCGCCTGGGGCTCCTCCACCCTGTGTCCTGTGTCACCCTGAAGGTGAGCCTGCCACTCATGGCTGCTGCATCTGTGTGCACACCACACCCGGCCCCAGCCCTAGGCGCACCTGCATGGCTGGCAGAGCTGGGCCCCCTCCTCTCTTTGGGGAACATCGGGAAGGGAGGGGACCTGAGTGGACTTGGGTCTGTGGCTGAGGCGGAGGAACCAGGACACTTCTCCCAAGTGCAGCCCCATCTCAGGGAAGGGAAGGGAATTCACACAACCTGGGCTGGGCTGCCTGGGGAGGGGCCAGGACTCTGTTCTGAAGTCTGGGGTCCCAAAGGGCGAGGGGAGAAGCTGCTGCCAGCTTGCAGTGCCACGGGGCAGGTGGAAGAGAGCCGCCCACCATAGACCCTGCAGCCTGCCCCATCCACACCTGGGCTGCCCGATCCCCGTCCTGCTGGCGTCTCACCTCCTGGCCGTGGGCGCAGCGTGCAGCACTGATTTGCACCCCCTCCACCTAGTACCAGTCTGGATAGCCTCGAGGGGCTGAAGGAGCCCAGACACCCCTGAAAGCCTGCCGTCTGGCCCCACACCGACCTGGGTAGGAAGTGGGCCTTGAACTTCGTCTGGAACGTCCTGGCCAGGATGACCACCAGCAACGCCAGCAGCACGCTGGTCGCCGTGAGCGCCACAAGCTTCCAAGTGGCCAGGAGGGTCTCACGCGTGGGGGGCCGTGTGTGCTCTGCAGAGAGAGAACAGCGCAGGCGTGAGGCTCTGTGACCTCCACGCCAGCCTGGGTGCTCACCTAGGTCATGCCTAGTGCAGGACACACCTGTGGGTGGGGATGTCTACAGTCGCACAGCTCCTGTGTGTCTGGTTAGGGCCACACACAGGCGCGCACTGGAGCCAGGCACCGAGCCGGGCTTGAGAGCTTTGGGGCATGCTGGGGAAAGGGCTCTACCCCCTACCTAGCCCCGGGCTGGATGAGTGGGACCGTGGGTGAGGACCTCTGTGACGCTCTGGGCTCACTCTGTTGGGGGGAATGAAGGGTGGGGCACAGCAGGGAAGAGAGGGTTGGGGGCTCCTCCCCACCTCCTCTGCACACCCAGGGTTCTCCAGGTGAGGGCTGGCAGGAGCAGACTCACAGCCCGCACAGTGCTGGCCTCCTGCCTCCCTGGTCAGCGCAGGGCCCCTGCGGCTCATGGGGATGGCGAGAATGGGCGCTTCTGTGCTGTGTGCAGAGGGCCAGCCCACGTCCACTGCTGAGTTCTGGGCAGTGCCCACTGCCACGGCCAGGGCCCCTGAGCGCCCGAGTGCTGGGCCAGCCAGGCTGCTGCCTACAGTGCACGTGAGGGGCCACCTGTGTGCTGATTCCTGCCAATCCCTGGGCAGCCCTGGGACCAGGAGTGGGCAGGCTGCTGTGCCTGGGGCGGGGCCCTCACCTGCCTTGATGCAGTACACCTGGTAGGAAGGGAACCACTCCCCGTACTGGCAGGTGATGTACTTGTAGTCGCTGGTGAGGCTGTAGCCGGGGTCGCAGTAGAACTCCACCACCGTGCCGTGGTTGTAGCGCTCACAAGGCCGTGGGTGGCAGATGAAGTCGCCGTGGCTCACCAGGGGAGGTAGAGGGCAGACTTGGGCCGTGGGGGAAATACGAGTGTCAGCAGCCCGGCTGGGCAGCCGGCCGGCCATGCCCCGTCCGGGAGTCACCGGACACCACCCACTTCTGTCCCCACAGTGCTCGGGCAGAAGCCTGCCCTGGGATTCCGAGCACCAGCCCTGCCACAAGACCCTAGTAAAACACACGTGAAGGGAGTTTGTTTTGCAATGCAAGGAATGTCCCTGTTTAAGGGCTACCTTAAGTTACCCTGTTCACAATGTGTGCTATTATGTGCCAGACAGCTTCGTAAATAAAATTAAGATATTTATGGACAAAATCTTAGCCAAAAGGTGCAGCTCTCCTGTGCCTGGCCCTGCTGGCTGTCACTGGAGACTGACTCTGGGGGCAGTGGCCTGGTCTGTTGGCAAGGAACCCAACACCTGTAGCTCTGCAGGTGGACCAGACTCCACCTCCCACACCCCGAGGCCTGAGGGGTGAATGGGGAGCTGCGGCCACCCACATGCTGAGGCCGCCCCAGGTCCCTAAATCTGTCAGCCTCCACCGAGCCATGCGTTGGAGGTTGCTCTGGCCTGAGGTGTGCATGGTATTCTGACTCAACACTCCACCTGGGAGGAAGGTTGGCTTGCCTCCCACCTGAGCCTGTGTCCGGCCCTCCACTCTGGGCCTGGAAGGTGACCGTGGCGGAGGTGGAAGCCTGCTCATGCCCAGTCACCAAGAGCTTCCTTTCCTGGAGGACATGAAGACGAACAGCACGGCCATTTGTTCTTCAGGGCAGGGGGCCTGCAGATTCCAGGGCCCAAGCCACACAGTGGCGCCCACCAAGACTCAGGCCTGAGCTAAAGGAGCACACTTAACCAACAGCAGACGGCTGAGCCCCACCGAGGGCCAAGCAAGAGCCCTGGCCAGGTGGGTGCTGACACCGCCACAGATGCCAGCCCCATAGATGCACAGGGACACACAAGTGACTGGTTCTCCTACAGAAGGGGAAACTGAGGCTCTGAAGAGCAACAGGAGCAGCGAGCGGGAGCCAGACTTGTCCTGGGCAGCCGGGTCCGAGTTTGGGCTGACATGCTCACTGTCCCTTGTCATCTGAGCTGCTGCCTGTGCTGTGGGGCCACACAACTCCACAGATTCTGCTTCTGCAGCTCAGACTCTGCCCGTGTTCTGGGCACATGGGGGGTTGATAGGAGAGGCAAAGGTGAGGCGGAGGGATGTGGAAGGCACTGCCCCTGTGGGCAGCTTGTGTGGGCAGCCAGGGGCTCCCCGAGGCCCTCCCTTCCACCTGGCCCGGTGGGGGCTCAGGTAGCACTGTGGGTGCTCAGGGCGCGGGCCACTCTCAGGGTGGGGGGTCATTTCCAGGGCACAGGCACAGCGCTGTCCTTGGCAGGGGCACGGCTGTAGGAAATGAGGGGCACATACACCATGGCATTATTCAGCCATTACAAAAGAAGGAAACCCTGCCACTGGGCACCTGGAGGGCACTGTGTGGCATGACTCAGGGGCGCTAGACACAAGGAGAGGACATCGAGCTCCAGCTGTGAGGACAAAGGAGCAGAGAGCTGAGCTGGGGCCCAAGGATGGCGCTCAGCACTGGGCTGGACCCCGGAGGTTGCTGAGGGTGGATTTTAGCTCCTGCTGCAGACACAGCTGGGGACCAGTGAGGAGAGCGCCAGCTCACCTGCTCTGCCGAGGCGCTCCTGTTGCTGTGTATGTGCATGTGGAAGCCACATGTGGGTCGCTGTGTATGTGAACATGCCACACATGTGCGGGTTCTATGCAGAGAGAAGGCTCCGGGCTAGCAGCCACTCCACATCTTCATGGCCAGAGCATAAGGAAGTTGCCAGAGCTGTGCCCAAGCACACACATTTGTTCCTGGAGGGTTTCTCTCTCACCTGCCTGGTGACCAGATGCTCAAGTCACCGCTTGCCTCAGGCCCACTGAGTCGCACCACGTGGTCCCGGGGGTGTGGGGGTGGAGCGAGCCGCAAGGGCACTGGGCAGCAACCCGTGCTCCTGTTTAGGCCTGCGGACGGGCTGAGGGTGCTCAGAGAAATGTTGTGAGGACTGGTGGGGCGGGGCTGCTGCCCCACACAGCGGGCACTTCACAGATAACACCGAATCATGGCAGTTCCAGGTCTGGTCACTGCCCGGCTCCAGGGCGGCCCACCGAGGATGGCCCTCACCAGCATACTTTCTCAGCACGCTCCCTGGGGCCGGCAGCTGGGGCTGTGGCGAGAGCCGTGGACCGGCTTGACCTGGGACCCTGGCAGGGCTGCCTTACACCACCCATTCTCCTGCATCTTGGGGGCTCAGGCAAAGATTCCGCTGCAGTTTGGCCTCAGGATCCTTTACACAGCTTCAGAAATCATCCACAAGGAGGCCTGGAGTCACACACTGGGGATTCCAGGAGCCAGCTGGTGCTGGTGACAAGCACTGTCCGCCAGGGGTCAGTGATGCGCCCCTTGGATGTGGCTGCTGCGGCTTCTTTGTGCTCCCCTACCCCGCTGCAGAGAGGCCTTGCGCAGCCCAGCCATCCAGAGCCTGGCCAGACAGGGCTAAGTGGGGAGGCGAGGGCCTGTCCTTGTGCACCATGGGCCAGAAATGGCCAGTAGGGCTGGCAGCAAAGCCCGAGGAAGGTCTGCTCTCAGGGGGCACCCCTGACAAGCCTGCCCTCCACCCAGTTCCTGGAAAGCCCTGCTTGCCTATCTGCCTGCTCCGCCCACAGCCAGCTGGGTGGCCTGCTCCCTCCAGAGCCTTGCTGTGCTCGGGCAGTGGCCCGGGAGCGCCCAGAGAGCTGTACCCTTGCCAGGTGTGCTTGGCCAGCTCTGGCTGCTGGACTGTGTGACACCCCCACACCCCCCAGAGGAGGGGCTCACTTGGACTCAAGCTTTTAGTCCATAACTGGCTGGCTCCAAGGCAGGAGGATGCAGGGCGGCCTGGGCAGAGGACAGCTGCTTACGTCATGGTGGCCAGGAAACAGCAGGAGCTGGAAAGGAGACAGGCACTCGGGTGGCCCCAGCAACCCGCCTCTCTTCACAGCGCTGGCTGGCTACTGTGCCCAAATCCAGTCACTTCCAAAAGCCCTGTCTCTGGCTGCACCAGTCTCCTGGGGTCATCTGGATATACACAGCTCCGACAGGCTCTCTGGCCTACGAGGGGGTCTATGCAGTAAGCCCACAAAGAGCTGAAAACATGAAAAACGCCTAATCTTCCAAGCCCTGGCTGCACAGCACAGCACTCAGACGCCAGTTTTGAGTGGATGAAAGCCTTAGGTCTTGGTCACAAGCCGGGGCACCTCCCCCGTCCGCTGCCCTCCAGTGCCAGCGAGCTGCAGCATCCTGCCGTGTCAGGTCCCATTTTCTACAGACAGGAGAGTGGGGGAGTGACAGCAGCTCCCCACTGCACGGACACCAGCAGCGAGTCTGGGCCAGGGCATCAGCAGCGACCACGCTGACATGGTGGGGTCAGCGCTCTGCACACCTCGGACAGCGCCAGCCAGCGCTTCCCACAGGCTGCAAAGGTGCGGAGCAAGGGGCAGCCAGGAGAGGCCGGAACTGGAGTGCCCAGTGCAGAGACCCTCTGTGGGGAGAGGTGCTCTGAGTGCAGAGGACGAGGTCAGGGCGGGAGGGTTGGGACGTCAGCAGAATCCAGGGAGGGTGCAGCTGCCGCAGGCTCAGGACAGGGAGAGGGGGCTGGCGAGGGGCTCATTCTCCCAAAAGCAAGTGCAAAAATGAAAATACACAATTCCCTTGATTGAAAAATCATGGAAGACCTTTTTCTTTTAAAAATATGCAAAGACTATTTCTGGAGAAGTTTTAGGCTCACAGGAAGGGGAGCAGAAGGTTCAGAAAGAGCCACACCTGCCTCCCACCTCCCAGGTCTCCCCTGTCAGTGTCCCTGTTCTGGGTGGCGTGTCCCTGCCGAAGGCCTGCACGAACTTGGCATCGGGGTCCACAGCTTCTGCCAGGGCTCATGCTGCAGCAGCGCATTCCAGGGTCTGGACAAGTGAGCCATGACCCTGTCCCACCATTACAGCGCCGTGAGGCGCGGCTTCACGGCCTGAGCACCCCACGCTCCGCCTGGTGGTCCTCCAGCCTTCCAGTGTAGATCTTCTCACCGTCTTTCGTTTTGCCTTTTCAAAACTTCATGCAGGCGGAGTCCTACAGTGCATGGCTGTGCTCATTAGGCTCACTAGAAGAACAGAGCCAAGATAAACTACATGTAAAAATGTTTTGTGGCCACCTGGGGAACCAGAGCCACAAGAATCCAGTGCTCCTGCGCCAGACAGCGGGAGGACCCAGGCCCATCTGAAAGCTGAAGGCTGGAGCTCGCTGCCGTCTCCCAGGCTCCCGCATCACAAAGCCAATGTGTGCAGTGGAGGCTGGAGGGTGTGTGTGGAAAGCCTGAGGGAACTGGAAACCAACTGCCAAAGGTGATGGCGGAGACCAGAGTTCCTCCCCTGGAAAAGGGCTGACTTCCTTTCCCTTTTCATCCTGCCCAGGATACGAGCCTATTGGACACTGCAGCGTCCTGCTGTATCAGGTCCCATGGGGCGGGCCTTCCCCCCTCCATTTGAGGCCTGCCTGTCACCCACAGACACGCCCAGAGTCTGCTAGGTGGTCCTACCCGAGTCAAGTTGACATGTCACAACTGGCAATCACAGTGGCCTTTTCTGATCGGCTTCTTTCACTTCTGTCTTCTCATGGCTTTATGGTTCAGTTCCTTTTCACAGGGGACAATATTCTTGTCTGGTGGCACCCCAGCATATCTATGCACTCACTCACTGAAGGTTGCTTTGAAAGTTTGGCAATTATGAACAGAAGTCATGTGTGGGTTTTGTGTCGACAGCTTTTCTGACCTGCTGGCATCCTCTGGAGCACGACTACCGCACTGCCCCCCAGAGTGCTGTGTCTTTTCCACTGGTGCTAGCCACGGCGGAGGTCACTGCTGCCGCTGCAAGCCCCTCAGCCTCCCGAGCGGCTTGTGGCTTGGGTCTGGCTGTCCTAAAGGGTGT